CATGGCCGTGTAGTTCTCCTCTTGAAGTCCCCACCTCCTGGGAGGCTGCCCTTGTGTTTCTTGGTGGTCTGACCTTTCTCTGCATAGCCAAGGAGCTCACCCGGGCAGGCTGCGGTCATTTGCAGTGCTCATGTGAAGTATGGATGTGATTAGGTGCAGGGAGAAGAAGCAAGAAGCAAGCAGTTTAATTTTCCTTTGGACGTGTCAAATAGACAGCTGAAAATACGCATCTGTGAGAATCCAGAGCCACCGGATGCTGGTGATGGTGAGTCAACAGTCAAACAGGGCTAACCTGGGTTTCTGGTTAAGAGGCAGTGCTTCCAGGAAGCCTTTCCTGGTTCATCAGAGGTTTCTCAAAATCTAGACGTTAGCGATGACATTAGAATTTTGCTGGGGAAAAAAAAGAGAAAGGTTGTGGAACATGATTGGTTGTAAAACATGATCATTTTGGTCATGCTACAAAGAGGAAATAATGAAGGTATTGTGCCAGAAAAAAAAATTCCCTGGGCTGAAGTCGATTTCCATTAAAAAGTTATCCTTGGGCTTCCCTGGTGGCGCAGTGGTTGAGAGTCCGCCTGCCGATGCAGGGGACGCGGGTTCGTGCCCTGGTCTGGGAGGATCCCACGTGCCGCGGAGCGGCTGGGCCCGTGAGCCATGGCCGCTGGGCTTGCGCGTCCGGAGACTGTGCTTCGCAACGGGAGAGGCCACAACAGTGAGAGGCCCGCATACCGCAAAAAAAAAAAAAAAAAAAAAAGTTATCCTTCAAGTAAGCCAGATTGCTTCACAGACTCATTCAGGTTTCATCTAGGGAACCAGAATGCTTTTCTTTTTGCTTCAGATTTCATTTGGATCTCCAGCTTTCTTGGTTATTGAAATAATACCTCATTCTTTAGTAACACTTTCTTGGCCTGTTTGTAGGTCAGCTCACTCAGTAAAATATGCAAATTTGCCAAAAATAACCAATATAATTTAACATAGAAAGCTTTGAATTATGTTTTAATTATGCCAGTGTCTAAATAAAAGATGGGTGGCTTCGTTTATATTATATTAAAATAAGTAGCATAGATAGTCCATTAGTATTTTGTTTTTAATCTTGTACTTTGGCAAACCTTCTAGAGTGATAAATGAATTTTCCTTTTCATTGGGAAAAGCCAAGTTACTGTTGTTTTTGGTCATGTAGTTGCATTCCTCAGACTGTAACAGTTAGCTGAAGACAAGAAATTGGAAGAGGTCTTTACCGCTAAGATATTTATTTCCTAGATTTACATGATAATGACCTTATGAATGGTTTCTTATTTTCTCAATTTTCTTTCAACATTTTCTTAAACGACACTTGGAGCTAAAAGAAATTACAAATATTTTGCATTTATATGAAAACCAGCTAAAAACGAACTTGGCCTGATTACATACTACCTAGAATTCCTGTGGCTCTGAATTCTCACACATTCTCACACATGTATATTTTCAGGGAAAGTTAAACTCTTTTCTTCTTGCTTCTCCCCCTTCCTCCTAAGTCCCTGTCAAGGTGTTTCATGACCCACCTTGATGCCCAGCTAGAAATTTTGACTAGAAACCACAATGTCTTCCTTGACTTTTCTATCTAATGAGTTTCTCTATTCTATTAACTTTCCCACCAAATTACTACCCTAATGTGTCCTCCCTTTTTGATTTCCCACTGCCAAGGCTTTATTTTCACTTGCCCAGATTAGTATCTCACTGGCCTGCTTATGGTCTGTCTCTCCCTACTTCTGTCTCAATTGTCTCCGTCTGATTGGATGGCTTCAGCATCTCCATCCAGCAGGTTCTCCTGATCCATGGCATAGATTAAGCCCAAGTTCCTCAGCAGACAGTGAAACCTTTATAGTCTAGCTCTGATGCGCTTGCTTTGCAGCCCTCGTTCTCTGCCCCTGTTCCTCCTGTGGTCGACACCTTGCCTCGCTGAACCCCACAGTTTTCCCAGCGAGATTCACGCCTGTGCCCACGTTGTGTCCCTGCCTGCAGTGCTCTGCCCCCCTTCTCCCCCATTGCCATCCTCATCCCTGATGACTCCTCACACCTTTCCTCACCTCACGCCGCCAGTCACCCTGCCCTGCGCTTTTCACTGTATGTTTCTGTTAATAAGTCCTATGTCGCAATTAATTGGTTCCATGCCTCCCATGGGCCACTCAACTCTGAGTGTCAGGAGGTGAAGGATCGTTTCTTACTCCACCTTCACTTAAGGAAATAATCTTTCCTCGGCATGTAACTCAGCTTATTCTGTATTGGTTCTTGGTTTTATACTATCATTTCTTGATATATACTACTAGTGGCAGAGTCAGAGAGCTTGAAAATTCACCTGTGGATATATATCCCAAAGATTTGAAAACAGCGACTCAAACAGATACTTGTATGGGAATGTTAACAGGAGCATTATTCACAATATCCAAAAGGTGGAGACAGCCCAAGTGTTCATCAACAGATGAATAGATAAATAAATGATGGTATGTACCTACAATGGAATATTATTCAGTCATAAAGAGGATAAAGTTCTGGTCTATCCCTTAACATGAATGAACCTAGGAAACATTATGCTAAGTGAAATGAGCCAGACAAAAAGTACAAATATTGTATGATTCCAGAAATATCTAGAATAGGCAGATTCATAGAGATAGAAAGTAGATTAGAGGTTATCGGGGGCTGGGGAGAGGGGGAAATGGGGGATTATTGCTTAATGGGTACAGCATTTATGATTGGGGTGAGGAAAGTGTTTTGGAAATAGTGATGATGGTTGCACAATATTGTGAATGTAATTAAAGCCATTGAAAATGGTTAAAATGTATATTTTACCAGAATGAAAAATATAGAGTTCATATAATTTTAATAAAGTTACTGCCACCAGCACCCTTATGCATATATATTCCAACATGTAGTTAGTTATATACAAGCATTTTTTCTTCCCATATCATTTATGTTTATCATTCTTACCTTCTTAATATATCACAAATGTCTTGAAGTCAAGGACCAGTCTAGATAGAAAATAGTCTTTAAGAAACATGGTTTTTGTTTGTATAGGGTTTGAAGTTGGATGTTTTTGAAATTCTGAAACTTTTTGGAGAGGGTTTGACATTTTATTTGAATCTTAGTAAACTCAGAGTGACAAAGTGACATGAAGTCACTGACTGAGTTTTGAAACGTAGATGTGTTTTTCTGACCTGCTGCCTAGGAACTGTGTGTATGAACCCTGATCCCATTGGGAGGAAAGCCAAACAGTCCAGCAAAGTGTGCTTTCAGTCGCTCCTCTTGCTGTTTTTTTTTCTTTTTCTTTTTTGCGGTACGCGGGCCTCTCACTGTTGTGGCCTCTCCTGTTGCGGAGCACAGGCTCCAGATGCGCAGGCTCACGGGCCCAGCTGCTCCGCGGCATGTGGGATCTTCCCGGACCAGGGGCATGAACCCGTGTCCCCTGCATCGGCAGGCGGACTCTCAACCACTGCGCCACCAGGGAATACCCTCTTGCTGTTTTAAACAAGGGGCTTGGATGATGAGGCCATGTAGATGGGAACCATATTGATTATTTTCCCTAAGTCCCTTTTAAAGGCAATTAAAATATAGGTGTTTACCCAGAATATAAATAAATTTATTCTTCTAGGAAGTTAAAATGCGTTTCTTTGTCTTTTAAGCTCCTATGGAGACTTTTAAAAATAGAATAGATAATGATGACAAGCTAATACAATTTACATTAAAATGAGTTTAATGTACATGTACATTTATAAAAATAAGACCTCTTAATTCTTTTACTTGAGTGCCAGGATTTTCTTTGAAAAGAAGTGAGATATAAATGGGAGAAAATGTTAGCCTGTGTTTACTATTAATCATCTCATATAAATTTCTGGTGTCTCATTCACTGTGTGCCTTGAATTTTATATTATGCAGTCCACCCAGAAAACTGGTAAGGAGCAATGATGTGCTAAATGCTAAAGGGCTTATGGAAAACTAACCTTCCCTTGTACTACTATTCCAGATGTCAACATTAGACATTATTGTTGGTTTCACCTTCATCACACTTTTAAAGAAAATGCTCTAGTCCTGTGTGATAGTTATTTCTATCAAGATTTTCCTGCCGCTCTGAACTTGCTCAGTAAGTGTGCTCTAGGGAAGATCCCAATTTTTAGTGGGCATTCACATCATCGGGCGATCTTGATAAAATGCAGGTTCAGATTCGGGGAGGTAGGTGGTGAGATTCTGCATTTCTGGTGAGGTGTCATTTCTGATGAGCTGTTAGATGATACCAGTGTTGCTGGTCACTGGACCACATTTTCAGCAAGAGTACTTTGTTTCAAATATCTGAGTTGATGTTCTGTTAAAATTGGATGCAATCTAAGGTTGCCAGAAAAAAATACAAGACATCCAAGATGTCCTATGCAATATTTGCACATGGTTGTATTAAAAAATTATTCATTGTTTATCTGAAATTTAATTTTAACTGGACTAGACACAATACATGTGTGTGCAAGTACACAACACACACACACACACACACTGGCAACTCTAAATCGCAATCTTCAGTCATATACGAAGTCATTTAAATGTCATATATTAGATTTAAATGATATGATTATTTTTATTTTGAGAGAAAGGACACAGAACTAGGTTTGTTTCACCTATTTTTTAGGCACTAACTTAGGTGTTTTGCTCATATGCTTTTCAATACTGTAAAATATGTAAGCATGAACCCTGTCCCCCTCCTAGTATCTGTGGAATTCTTGAAAAATGGTGAAATCTGTACATTCTAAAATATACCTGAAAGCACAGAAATGCCCTGGATTATTAATGTTTTAAGCCAACCATACAAAGTAATAAGGTCTTTATATGATAGATTTAAATTTAGACTATTTTATAGTTTTTTTCTTATATTTTTTGGTACCGTGTACTGTTGATATTTTCAAATCCTGTACATGAGGATGATCTGTTGTCTATTAAAGCACACAGAAGAGAGTGTAAATGATTTTCTTTTTTTTTTTCAGATTCTTTACAGAGTTGGAAGCAAGGCATCAGAATAATATCTTCATAGATGACATAAGTGACATTGTGGAAAAACACACAGCATCCACATTTGACCCATATGTGAAATACTGCACAAATGAAGTCTACCAACAGCGGACACTACAAAAATTGTTGTAAGCAATATTGAATGTTACAGTTTTAATTATCTAATCTTCTTTTAATTAGGTCACATAGATCGAAATTAATGGATCTCTTAAATTACATTTAGAAATGCCTCCTGATGATCTATTTTCCAGAGAGAAATTTTCTTTTATAAATTTTTTTTTTTTTGATGTTGGGGCTAGGAGTTTTTTATTAATTTATTTATCCATTTTTGCTGTGTTGGATCTTTGTTTCTGTGCGAGGGCTTTCTCTAGTTGTGGCGAGCGGGGGCCACTCTTCATCGCGGTGTGCGGGCCTCTCACTGTCGTGGTCTCTCTTGTTGTGGAGCACAGGCTCCAGACGCGCAGGCTCAGTAGTTGTGGCTCACGGGCCTAGTTGTTCCGTGGCACGTGGGATCCTCCCAGACCAGGGCTCGAACCTGTGTCCCCTGCATCGGCAGGCAGACTCCCAACCACTGCGCCACCAGGGAAGCCCCAGAGAGAAATTTTAAAGAGGATTGCTTTTAGGGTGAGGGCATTTGATTAGAAAAATCCAGTTTGTAGAGAATTTTGTCTCTAAAGCAATTATGAAATTATAGTTTGTTGCTGTTTTCCTTCTTTCTTTCTTTTTTTTTTTTTAATTGCTGCAAGACACGGGGTTGGGGGGTGGGAGGGTTGGTGATCAGTGATCATCATTCTAAATGGTGAGAAGATTGTTCTCTAAGCTGTTATTTGACCATTAGGTAGCCTGAGGCCAAGATAGAGTTTTTGAGTAGGTTGAACCTAGTGCCTAGGAGCCAAAGCTTTCTCAAGTATCCTAATCTTCCTCCATTCAAATGACAACTCTATTCAGTTGTTTATAGGAATTGCTGATTTTCCCACTCCGGGTACTTAGGGGTTAAGGAGAGCAGGGGAAGGTCTGAAGGAAGGCGGTTTTTAAAAAAAGTTCTTAAAGACTGTAACTATGAAACAAAAAAGAATTAAACTTTAAATTTCCCCCCATACTTTTTCCCTTTGTCTGTTTAGGTTACTGAGCGTTTTGTGATGTATATGCTATCTCTATCCTTAAAAGAGTCAGCAGTGGTTCAGTAATGTCTATATTGCTTTCTTGCCTGGGGTCGGGAGCTTGTTTATCACAGGGCCTATCTGTTTGACAGTGCAACTGTACATTGCTGTAAACTCAGTTTGAGGGCTGACTGGCTGTCATCATTCTCCTCCCGTCCTGTGCGTTGTGGCATTTATGACGGCAGCATGGAACCCAGGTCAGTTTCTATGCAGTGTGCGAGACCCTATGGTCATGATCACCTCATGGCTGCTTAGAGAAACAGCCCCCAAGTTGGTGAGAAAGGCTGATTATGCCCCTTCCCCCTCCACATTCTCATTAAAGTCTCGTGCAGGCAGGGTGGAAAACCCACAGCTGCCAACGTCAAAGGAGGTTATTAGTACAAAGCAGGGTTTGTAGGCACTACTGACATTTTGTCCTAGATTAGTCTTTGTTGTGGAAACTGCCCTATACATTGTAGCATGTTTAGCAGCCTCCCTGGCCCCTGCCCACAAGATGCTGATAGCACCACCACACCCCAGTGGTGATAAACAAAAATATCTCCAGACATTGCCTGACATCCCTTGCAGGGGTGGAGGATGGAGAATCACAACCCTCACTTTCCCTAAATTCCCCTCCCTCCCCCATGGGAACTGCTGATGTAAAGGTTACTCTGTAACTGTTGGAAAATCCAAGTTACATGTGTGAAAACAAAGTCTGGAATTAGAGCTAATTTCACTTTGTTTTGCAGGATTTCAGAAAAAGGGAATAGGTACTGCTGTACTTTATGTAATTCTTGAGAAATAAGGGTTTTATTTAAATTTGCTCAATGATACCATCATTGGAGCTTTCACATGGAAATTAGTAGCTGTGTTTTCAGAAACTTTGTTGCAGTTGATGTAAATTTACATTTAAGGTTGTGACTTTCAACTCCACTTGCAGTTTGGAATCTGAGAACCAACAAACAATGCCCAGGGTGCATCCTAGACTGTTTCATAAAAATCTTTGGAGGTGGCGGGGTGGGTGGGGGGAGGGGGGGCCTGGGGCCTAAGTAATTTAAATATGCAACTGGTTTAGAATTTGCTTTTTTTTTTTTTTAACTTCCTAAAAATCTTTTCAAAGCTAGCAGGAAACCTAAATCTCCTCAATTTAAGAAAATGAGATTAAAACCTTTCTGTGTTCTTTCTTTTACTTTGTTCTTCTGGGTATGTCCCAATTTATTTCTAGCAGCCTTGAACCCAGCCATCCAAGTTTCAAAGTGTATTTATTTTAAAAAGATTACAATTGCCACTACCCTGCTTCTTGGCCCCCCACCCCCACCCCACCCTCCTCACAAGTCACCCTGGAACTCCTCAGAGCTCCCTTTGGGGTGAAGTGAGGTGACAGAGTGAGAGATACAGTGTCAGGGACCCACTGAAAGTCAGAAGACCTCCCTTTGACTTCTATCTTTACTGAATACTAGATCTTTTATTTGGCAAGTTGGGGACTTTTCTGAGGCTCCATTCTTCCTGGAATCCCCTCTTGGCCTTCCCTGAAAGTTATAGGGTGGTTCCACATGAGATCCTTTATGTCGATGTATCTTGCTAAATTCTGCAAAAATGTTCTGGCAGTATTAACACTGTTCTAACGTCAATGGGAGAGGAGGAATATTCTGGCTGGCATGATCAGAAGGTTTTCTGTCTTAGAAGCTTTGAAAAAGTCCAAAAGCCTCCTAGTAAGTAAATCCAGTCTGACATTTCTCTCTTAGATTATTATCTCGGGCTAGAGAAGTGGCTTAAAACATGTGCTATCTTTTAAATGGAATGTTTATAGATTATCAGATATGAGTTCTAGTGTGTATACTAATTTATAATGTATACATTCACCATTATGATACCACTGCTTCTTCATTAGTTTACTTTCTACTTTTAAAAATTTCTAGCCCATACATTTTCATCTTATTGTTCATATTGTTACCTTAAATTTATATCTTATATTCAGTCTTGACTGTAAAAGGCAGATAAGCCAACCATGTCTCTCTGTGTAATTATGTGTTTGTTGTTTCTATATTTAAAAATCATTGATAGGGCTTCCCTGGTGGCGCAGGGGTTGAGGGTCCGCCTGCCGATGCAGGGGACAAGGGTTCGTGCCCCGGTCCGGGAGGATCCCACATGCTGCGGAGCGGCTGGGCCCGTGAGCCATGGCCGCTGAGCCTGCGCGTCCGGAGCCTGTGCTCCGCAACGGGAGAGGCCACGACAGTGAGAGGCCCACATACCGCAAAAAAAAAAAAAAAAAAAAAAAAATCATTGACAATATATGAATGTATCACAATATTTTATTATACATTTTTACTTCTTAACTTGAAGGGGAAGTATTTTGAAGTTTTGTCTTTCTTTGTTTTTCCTCAGAGCCACCAACCCATCTTTTAAGGAAGTTTTGTCCCGAATCGAGTCCCACGAAGACTGTAGGAACTTACCCATGATCTCTTTTCTCATTCTCCCCATGCAGAGGGTGACCCGCCTTCCCCTGCTGATGGATGTAAGATGTGATCTGGTGTCTCTTTCCTCTGTGGATAGCTGTGCTGCTGCCAGTCCGATTAAGAAAATTATTCTTACCCCACTTAAATTATATCCCTTCTATAAAATCCCCCAGTTAAGTGAGAAGGTGCTGTTCGGTTGGAAAGTCCCACCTGTGTCTAATATCTTTGGAAATTATCTTCAATTTAGGCTTGTGGGGTCACTCTGAAGAAGTTAGATTATCCCTCATTTTCTTAACAGTTTTTGAAATGGGAAGAATATTGACTTCTTGGAGTCAAGAGTCCCGGATTCCTTTTCCGGCTGAGCCACTAGGCCTGTGACCTCGGGCAAGGCACTTAATCTCTTTGGGCCTCAGTTTCCTCTGGTTGACCAGGAAGATCCCTTCCCTGTCCCATGCCAAGATGATGAGGTGCTTCCATTTAGCACAGGAAGGAGGTCCTCTGCAGCATCACAGGGCATAAACCTGCCCTATTTTGCATTGCTCAGAATGAGTGAGGAAAGTCCAGGCATCCGTCGTATCTTAGGAAACATTCATGAAGAAAACAAGTATGTGATTTTAAATAGTGGTAAGATGTGGCTGGGAGAAGACTTGAGACTGCCAGGTGGGAAACACAGCTGGGAAGACAGCCAGACGGTGGCTCAGGAGGGCTGCACACTGGCTGGGCTGCAACTGCAAGGGCATCCGTGAGAGAACGGGGTGGCCCGACATGACTGCCATCCAGCTAGAGGGGCAAAGAGTCTCTCTTTTTATTTCTTTAATTGAAGTATAGTTGATTTACAATATTGTGTTGGTTTCAGGTGTACAGCAAAGTGATTCAGTTTTATACATATATTTTTTTTCAGATTATTTTCCATTATAGGTTATTGTAAGATATATACTGTGTTATACAGTAACTCCTTGTTGCTTATCTATTTAATATATAGTATTATGTATCTGTTAGTCCCAACTCCTAATTTATCCCTCCCCTGCCTTCCTTTCCCCTTTGGTAACTATAAGTTTGTTTTCTATGTCTGTGAGTCCTTTGTTTTGTATATAGATTCATTTGTATTATTTTTTAGATTCCACGTATGTGATATCATGTAATATTTATCTTTCTCTGTCAGACTTACTTCACTTAGTATGATAATCTCTAGGTCCATTCATGTTGCTGCAAATGGCATTATTTCATCCTTTTTTATGGCTGAGTAATATTCCATTTTATGTATAACATCTTCTTAAACCAGTCGTCTGTTGATGGGCATTTGGGTTGCTTCCATGTCTTGGCTATTGTAAATAGTGCTGCTATGAATATTGGGATGCATGTATCTTTTTGAATTAAGAGTTTTTGTCTTTTCTGGATATATGCCCAGGAGTGGGATTGCTGGATCATATGGTAGCTCAAAGAGTATCTTTTTGATCAAATTAAAATATTTTGGCATAGTTCTACTTTACAATGGATAATATTAATATAATGTCAGTTTTGACATACTTGGTTTTACAAGTCAAAATACAGGGTAAAAATAAAGCAAAAAATTCCAGTCGAGTAAGATTACAAAATAAATTCCATTTTCTCAATTCCATTATAAATCTAAGAGCTATTCTGAAGAAGCACTGAAGTTTAGAAACAAGTGAAAGTGTGTGATCACGGTCGCTTTGCTGGCTCTGCTGCACGGTGAGGTCAAGGCTCAGCTGTCATTTCAGAATTCACAGCACCTGCTGCTCTCCAAGGCCACCTCAGTCTACTCCCTTTACACCCTGCCTTGTCCATTCCCTGTGATTTAGGAACTTCTCTCCTTGTAAATATTGGGAAACTTGCAGTTTTGTGAATCTAGCTGATTTTTTAAAAATCAGTATTTATCATGTCTAAGAATAGAATGAAGCCAGGTTATCAAAACTAAATGTTGGCTCTAAAAAGGTTTATTTCCTGTGCCTAATAAGACTTTTATAGAAATAATGAAACTTTGACACATATAGGAATATATTAATTTTCAAACTTTACTATTTTTTAACAAGACATGGTGGTTTTCTAAATGTAACATTTCTAGTAATGTTATGAATTTTCAGGATTCTTTCTTTTTCTTCTCCTGGAAACACGTTTTAGCCGAGTTTCCTTAGATTCTGTATATTCTGTGATCTCAGCCTTTTTGTATATTTTCTCCCTTTGTGATTCTGAGGAAATTGCTTAGATAGATTGGGACTCACAAAATCTAATATACATGTTGTAGGTACCATGTTGGAGGTTTATGCCATGATTGCCCAGTAGGCTCTAAACTTTTTGGAGTCAGAGACCGTTTTGAGATTGTGAGTAAAGCTGTAGTCATTCTCCCTAGAAAACTCATAGTGTGCAAAATTTTACCTAAAATTGAAGTGTGGAAAGAAACTGTGGACTCAGGATGCCTGCTCCCAGAGACAAAGACTAGTATTTTTCAAACTGCTTTTGTACCCCTTAGTGGGTCATGAAATTGATTTTTGAATCATGAGCAGTGTTTTTAAAAAATGAATATAGAATAGAACATGTGGTATGTGATATATACATCATTCATAATGTGGTTAAATATTATTTCATAAAAAACTTGTTTCATTTTTGTGTGCATGTCTGCTGGTTGCAGTGTAAAAGTATTTCTTGCAGTGGGTCATAGTCAAAAGGTTTTGAGAACTATTAATATAAATCCATCGATGGTACGTACACTCTGTGCTTCTCACATATCACATGTAACAATCCTGACACCTGACTTTTGGATTTATGGACTTGGTGCTCGTCTGCATTTAAGGTACCAGTGGTTTGCTAGTTCCTAGTATCTTCCACCTCTGCTGGATGCCTGTTGCCCTAATCTGTTTCCCATGTGTGAGAACCTGGCCACCTGGGCAGAATTTAAATGTACCTAAAACATGGTCTCTTCAATGTTACTTCATTTGGAGATTTAGTTAAGCTTGTTAATTGAGGTGAACATTTTTAACAGTTGAAATGGTTCTGTTGGCTTTGAATGGGTATAGTTTCAAAAGTTTTACATAATTCAGTATACCTTCAGTTGACCTTCTTTGAACTCGATTTTACCATCACAGAAATAGCAGTGTAAACATATCAAGGGAAGATCCAGCAGCCATTTTTTTGATCGTTTTATTCACATTATATCATCTGCAAATATAATAAGCTCTAATAATAATGATGATGGTGATCATTAATTTTGTCATTCATTGAGAGCCTACTGTATGCCAGGTATTCATAAAAAACTTTACATGCATTATCATTTAACTTTTATAACAACCTTGTGATGTAATTGCATTATCCCAGTTTTACAGATGAGGAAACTGAGGCTTATAGAGGCAGGGTAGGTGACTTGCCCAAGGTCAAGTAGCTAGTCAGGAGCAGATCTGGAATTTGAAACCAGGTTCACCCACCTCTGAAGTCTATCCTCTTATTTAACTATCCTCTGGATTAACATGGATCCTGTGCTTTTAAAGACTATCTCCTAGTTTTGTAATCAGATTTTAATGTCATCTTCAGACTCATCCATAGCATTGTGTTCAGCATTGTTAAGTTTACTACAAGTAAGACTCTATGACTGGAAGTTGGTTTTGTTTTACTTAGTAAAATAAATCAGTTGATTTTGTTCTTCTTTTACTTGATTGCAGACTATCTGTCAAAAGACACCTAAGGACTCTTCAAAGTATGAAGTCTGCAAAAGGGCCTTAAAGGAAGTAAGCAAGGTAAGTGTTGAGAGGCTCATTACACAGTAATGGGATCACCCATTCAGATCCCTCTGAAGAGAACATGTCTGAGTTTGATGCTGAAAACTGGTAGATTCTCATAGCCATTTGCACACCATTCTTTGGGTAGCCAAAAAACAAAGCAATCTTTGCTGTACTCAAATGAAACTGGTATTTTTACTGTTTCAGACAGTCTTGTCTTAAGGTATCTCATTTTCTGTTGGTGTGTGAATTCGATAAGTATTTATTGAGTATCCACTACAGTGCCAGGGACGATGCCAGCCCCTGAAAATATGGGGATGAATAAGACATCGGTGGTTACTGCCCTTGTGGAATGTGCTGTGTAAAGGGGAAGGCAGACATTGACTAAGAATTACAGTAAAGGATGATGAGTGACATAAGAGGGAAGAACATAGTAATGTTGAAGCTGAAGCCTGATGCAAGAGTAGTTGTTGAATTCTCCAAATTCTATAAACATGTTCCCAAAGACAGGAACGTGTTTATAGAATTTGGAGAACTAGAATGTTCTTCATGTGACGAGAGCCCAGTTCAGGAGAGAAAGCACTGAGGAACCATGTTAGGGAATTGTGGACCTTATCCTAGGATGCTGTGGAAGCTATAAATTCATGTGCTGTGAAGGTGACAGTGGGGATGAGCCCCAGTGATGAGGCCTTTGTAGTTGATGAGGCCTTTGTAGTTGATGAGGCTACAGATGATAGGGGCCTGTACTGATGTGATAGTAAGGTGGAGAGAAGCAAACCTACAACATTGGGGAGGTAGGCATGGAGAGTGTTTGGGTGGGCATATTTGCGGACAGAAATCAAGGAAAATAGTCTCTGGCTTGTGCAACCAAGATGGATGCCCTTGTTTATCTCTACAGTAGGAACATAGAGAGAAGCTGATGAGTTCCATTCAGAATGTGTCGGAACTGAGATTCCTATAGAACATCCAAGTCAGGAGCTCAGTGGAGAGACTTGAACTGGAGACGTGGATTTGTGAATCATCAGCCTAGGGATGATTTTTGAAGCTGGGAGAATGGATGAAAGTACCCAGGAGTATGTATAATTAGAAGAGTAGTTAGTGAGTCTGAAGTACAACTGTGAAGAGCACCGGACTTCATCTTGTTTAGGGGAAAGGAACCAACAGAGGAGACTTGAAAAACAAAACAGAATGTACCAAAGAAGGAGGAAAACTTAATCAGTGGTCTGGCAAACTGCATGTAATATGGTGGAAGGAAGGTCAGCCCGGTTGGGTGCTCCTGAAAGACAAAGTGGGATAATGATTGATGCGTTCACTGGGTTTATTTATCATCAGGTGGGTTGTGTCCTTGCAGAGGTGGGTGTGGAAGCCAGATTGGAGTGTGTTGAGGGCTGAGTGGGAGGTGGGAACATGCAGCCAGCTAGTGTAGCTGTTTCAACAATCAGGCTGAGGGTAAAAAGACAAAAAGAGAGCTGTAGTTGAAAGGGAAGTGAAGGAGGGTCTTTTTTTGTTTAAAAGATTAGAGAAATGTGGGTATATTTAAATGCTAATAGGAATGTTTAGCTGTGAGAAAGCAATGGAAGTTATGGGAATCAGTGAGGATACGGCCCTGGGGAGCAAAGCTCATGATCGCATCAGAAGCATCCTAAATATCTCGAAGCTGCACATTACTTCTGAGTTTGGTACATCTTTGTACCACTTTATTGTGAAGCATTTTTTGTTTTAATCAACTTTAAATTGACTCTATTTTACTTTTCCTTGCCAATAATAAATACAAAATCATGGGTTTTATGAGCTGGTTGTTTCTTTTTTTTTTTTTTTTTTTAACATCTTTATTGGGGTATAATTGCTTTACAATGGTGTGTTAGTTTCTGCTTTATAACAGAGTGAATCAGTTATACATATACATATCTTCCCATATCTCTTCCCTCTTTGTCTCCCTCCCTCCCACCCTCCCTATCCCACCCCTCCAGACAGCCACAAAGAACCGAGCCGGTATCCCTGTGCC